ACAACCACGCCTGAAATCTCGATTATCACTTTATCATGCGAGAGTATAAAATGTTCGGTGACACCCGAACTTAGCCCTTCCTTACTTGTTTTTAGATCATTTAGTCTACATCTTCATCCAATATGGCTGACCACTCCCACTAATCTCGAGTATATTTATTTTATTTGCAATTTACCATAAACATATGTATATTCCATGCAGTAAAAAAAGCACAAAAAAAAAACTCTTTAAATAATTATAAACTGTATGTGTTTCCTTTCCAGGGGGGCATGTTCATACTACAACTGTTTGATTGGTATTCTGCATCGATTTCGGTAATACTCATATGCATCTCGGAAGTGGTTATGGTCGCTTGGATCTATGGCGTGAACAATTTCATTGCCGACATTTACTTTATGATCGGCAAGAGACCGGGAATTGTTTGGAAATTTTGTTGGACATACATCACGCCAATTATATTGATTGTGAGCACAGACAAATTACCATAGTTTTTTACAAATATTTGACGCTCTTTCTTTAAAAGGGCATGTTCTTCACTAGCATCATATTTAATCGCGATATAACCTACAATGGTATTATATATCCAAGTTGGGCCATAGCACTCGGTTGGCTGAGTTGCGCTATCTCCATTGCATGCATTCCAGCATATATGATTTATGCATTAGTACGAAGCCAGGGCACACTCGTGAAGACTCTGCGCAGACAATTACGCGCCGTTGATTGGACGCCGGCGAACGAGGAGTATCGCCTTGAGTACGAGGAATATCAGCGTTCACGTAAATTAACCAGTGAACTGCATAAGAGTAGAGTGGAATCGATGGCTAAAGCGCGAGTGTGTACCTAATATATGAGATATATGTATGTAAAACGCGGTAACGATTTTGTAGCAGAATGTTTTTGAGTATGAACATAAGTGTACATTATTATATTTACAAAAACAATAAAAAATTACAAATAATTTGTATAAGCAAAACATTTATTAAAAAAAAACAGAATTATGAATATTATAAATTCATCTTTGGCTTAGAGAAAAAGTAAAAATATGAGTTCAAATTCGTATTGATTTCTTTACAACAATGAAAACTGCTAAATCTGTAAATTAATACGAGTATACATATACAGTTTGTTCTTGCCTACAAATCACAATAATATTTAATAATAATAATAATTTCTTCAATAATATATACATACATAAATACATTTTATATGATTACACAACCAACACACATATATTAGCAAGATTAACTCGTTATGGCACAACTTCATCTTCCATCTGACTCAACTGATGCGTAATATCCATATTGCCCATGGCCTCCTCGTACCGTTGACGTTCCTCCATTTCAAGCGGATACCAATCCAATGGACGGCAACTGCGGCGAAAACGCATTTTCAAAGGACCCGATGTTTGCAGGAGTACATAGATCATGTAGCCGGGTAAAAATAGCCACGGTAAAACGATGAAGAAAACCGCAGCTATATGAACTACAATTGAGGCGACACTGTGCTCGAAGAACGCAGCAACTACCGAAATTAACTGTAATTGAAAAGTTTAACTGTAATGCAAACTTTTTCAAACTTTCAATAATGAAGTTCATTAAGTTGTTAGGAAATATGAGTGCATTGAATTTGAAATGTTAAGATATATTGTACATATATGTAAACCAACTCACTAGCAGTATGATGAGGCAAATCGGCGCAACAAACCTCAACATATTCACTTTCCATGTGGAAAAACGTTGGCCCAGCATGAATTCTATATCGCGCTGAAAACGTATACGTCCGTAAATCCACAGCACGACAAGAAGCAGAAACAGATTCAGTGTTGTTTGTGTGAATAGTGAATCCATTGACATGGCGCTGAAGAATATAACACCGTGCTGCAATTGTAAACAGAAGAAAAATATGTAGGTCACAGAAGAAAATATGTGGTATCACATTCGTATCATATTCATTTGCATTAGAATGAGTTAGGTCGTGGTTAGGTCAGGTAAATATGGTAACTTAATTCCTGAGGCTACGAATAATTCCACTTGAATAGCAATATAGTACGCCTGTTCGTTATGATGCCCAGATCTTCTAAGTACTGATCAATCTGTGGCTGCTAAGATGTTTCAACCTTAGTCTGCCGAAAACTGGACAGTGATATAGAAAGCATTACTTTTTTATATTTTTTCCATATACTGCTATAAAATATGGGAATATAAACATGTGGCAGTACGACTTCTCACATTAAAACACACATCATATCACCCCATTACATCACACGATTACGACATATCATGACACTACATCATACCATAAAAGCCTGTGGCAGTTCTATTTCTCTCATCGTATCAAATACCATCAAATCATATCATCTGCCATCACATCTTACCATAAGCTAATACCGAGTTTTTTTATTCATTATTTAAACCTATCGTCATCATTAATAATTGAGCATAAAGAATTAAAAAAAAAAAATATTGTTATTTGTAATTCATTGTAGAATTCTACTATAGATTTCTCATTCAGTTAGTGTTTAAAGATTTTCCAATAACAAATTTCTTCATAAAATTATTTAAACTTACATTGGAGCACGTGTACAGAGATAAAACTGCTAGTATACCAATGATGCCGAAAGTGACTTCTGTTCTACGCGCACGCAGTATTTCGAATTCATCGAATATGCTTTGGAAAACAGAGAATAAGCACGTGATCTGCAAGAAAGAAATTAAAAATTTATTATATGATTAATATATAAAAATAAATAGAGCTTTTAATATCTCTATACAAATAAATTAAATATAGCTTTAAATATTTCTTTACCATCGTAATCAGCGCCATAAGTGCAAGCATGCCAAAGAAAATCATTGACCAGAGATTTGGCCAACTCATTGTGGTCATTACGCTGCCACTCGATAAATACAAAGCCCAGTGATGATTCACATACACATACAAATTATCTACCTCATCATAATGTTCGATGATAGCTATTAAAAAAAAATAGTTTTAAGAATATATTTTTAAATTTTAGAATTTTTGTAACATTTACATTGAAAGTAGCCCTGAATTATATGCGTTAAAATGCCGTAAGCCATAAAAATGCACATTTGACCTATACAAATAAGCCAACTGAAATTCATTATATTGGTTTTGAAGCGATTAAAGCTAGCCAAGGCAATAATGGAACCCCAACCGGGACCGAAAGCAGACACGATAAACAGCAGTGTATTTGGTATGCCTTCGGCCAATTCACGCGGAGTTGCTATGAAATAACTGAATATATATTTGAAATCGAGCGATAGCAGCAGAAAACGTATCACAGAGATGACCAGCAAAGCCAGTGATGCCCAAATGGTGTAACGTAGAAATTTGCTCATCTGCACAAGGAAAAGAAAATGCAGAGAGAGCGTGAGAAAGGCATATATTAAGTTGTGAGCGCTTAAAACTAATGATGACGTACCAATTCCGTATTGTAGAAGCGATAAAAGACGGCAGCGATAATGCCCCAGCTAAGCATTGTGCAGAGAAGCAACTCCCACGAAAACATAAAAGGGCTATTGTACTCATAGTTATCCATCAGATCGTCACCACCGAAAAGCGAGCTGCATTTTGGGTATTTATCAACACATATTTGTTAGATTGAAAGTATGAAAGATTATTACACTTGGCGCTAACTTACTTGAAAAATAGCACAGACGGCACTTCATAGCCAATATATTTATAGGAGTCGTTGGTTTTTGCCATACTGGCATTAATTTCCACTACATCTTTAAGTTTGCAGGACTATTGTCATTTTTATTTTATTTTTGAAAAAATTTAATATGTTAAAATATATAAATTTAGCTTCTGTTAATATATTTACATGTTCCACATCCACTTCGGTGCTGTTTATGAACCATTTTTCCATGCCCTCACAGCTCCAAGGTATTGTAGGGCGCATGGAGTGGAAGAAATAGAGTAGCGGCACCGCCGCAAACATACTGTAGTAGGTGAGCACTGCCAAATTGACGCCCAAACTTATATAACCCAAGCCTAAAAGCAGAATAAAGTGCTTACAATTTATTCTTTTCTAATATACTCAATGAGGGTTTTTAATTTTAATTTTTTTTATATTTTTTATATTTAATATATTCTTAAATTTGATTTTTATACCCTTGAAAATTGGTGATATACGAAACACCGATATAAAACCACTGCTGGAAAACTGTCCCATAAATGACTGAATCACCATGATTGGCACCACAAACAAAAACATACAGACGATGTAAGGTATAACAGCACCTGTGAAAGATGTATTTAAAATACAACGATTTATTTAATTTAATAATTAAATTATATTATAATGTAATAAAAAATAAAAACATTAATCAATTGCATCTCTCTTGAAATTCGCTGCCACCTGATTCGCCATTTTTTCTTTAATATACCGCGGTAGTAATTACTCGATTACAATTAATTATATGCGCAAGTATGTGCATGTAAAACAAGCCTTGTACAATTTGCCTAGATTTGAGCGCACGAAACAGTTTTTTATGTGTTCATAAAATTCATTTTTATATCTTGAACATGGAGAAAGCCGTACGAAAATTACACTTATAGCGAGGAGCGGACTAGGTGCTACCCATTGTAAAACGAAATTGATGCTTTTACGAGAAAAACAAAAATGCCTCGATTCAATCTTCCCCCATTCGTGGTACAACAATTTCTCTATCTCTCACGGCAAAATACCTATGGCTTCAAAGCGATACCAAACTGAATTGGAAAAAATTATGGAAAAACGAATTCTGCAACTGCAAAATAATACTTAGCAGGAACTGGGGCCTTTAGACAAATATACGTGTAGTCTTCATTAGACTAAATCTAACTTGTAGAGCACTGCTTTGGTGGTCAGCATTAAAGAAATAATATAATATCAGAAAATTATTTGGCATACAAAGAACAGCCTGTGAAGGGTCGTAATTGGAAAGTATCAGCACATCCTGCTATCAGAATTAAGAACTTAGGACATAAGAACCAGATGGGTTATGTACACAGTGCTATCCTCAAATAGCTGAACATAATTAAATCAGTCTATATCCGTCCAGAGACGAGGTAAGTATTCCCAGTAGATTTAAATGGAGAAGAGGTTTAGTAGGTAAAGAGAGTAAGGCTGAAGCCTCCTGGTCAATACTATGTCCGCTGGGAAGGATCAAAAGAGAGTTTTATATGGATTTTTAACAAAAAGCTCATTGCATATAGAACTCAATAGCACACTGCAAGAAAACAAAGTAGATATGGTCCAAATATGACGGCAAAATAATCAAGGAACTACTATTTAGCTGCAGTAAAATTATACATATACAGACTTACAGCTACTATAATGGGGCATTGGCCTTTCGGAGGTCTTCTGTTAGAAATATATAACAATATTTTCCGCAACTGCAAGCTAGAAGGGAATGTGTAAGCGATGGAACGGAGTAGCAAGAATATAAAGGTTCTACGATAGTGCATCAAAATAGCAAATCCAACTCTAATTCAGCCCATGCAGGTAGTTCTTCTACCGTATAAGTTTACCACGAAGTTTGAGGAGTATTTTTTATAAATCATCAAGGGGACGAGTGGAGTGAATTTATCCTTGCATATCAGTCTGTCTGTCTGTTTTTATATATGCCTACTAATCTCCTAGTTCTTTAGAACTTTTTATTTAAAAAAATATCTTCAGATATCAGATAGATCAAAATGTCCTCAGATCGGAAAATTATAGTATATGGCGGCCATACCGTCTGACCTATCAAATAATTCTGCCTCTACAATAACAACAACCGATCAAAATCGAGAAAAAAGATATTTTTAAACCCTTTAACACGGTAAGAAATGCAACCGTGAATACTGTTATGGCTTCGGTGCAGCCGAGATTCATACTTTTTCTTATTTTCAATAAATTGAAATTGCAGATAACTACTCAGCCATGATTACTAATATAAAAAAATATATAAAGTATTTTTAGCCATACATTTCAACACCTACTGTAAGTTTATATTAAAATATATTAAGCTTATCAGTTTGTCAAAGGTTATTGTGCAGTTATTTATTGACATGTATATAATATATGAATTCAAATAAATTAGAGGCGTAAACATATGCAGTTAGACAGCGCTTATCACTAAAAAGCATTAGTAAAGGTCTATTGCGAAAAGCGTTGGCATTCAAATACATAAATATATATGTATACTATATGCTGTTGAAAGAAATAATAATATAATGCAATGAAAATTGAGCTACGAATTCTTTGATCTTCTTAATTATTACTACATTTTGTTCTTTTTTTATTGAGTTTTACGCCTCTTCGAAGAGATTTTCTTTTTCATTTAATGAAGCCTATTTTTTAATAGTTCTGCGTAATTTTTTTTTTTTAATTGGCATAAAATTTAGTTCAGTTTACTTTTTTTTTTTATTTAAACCACTTAATTTTACAGCAATGTTGCTTCATATTGCCATATATCTATGCTCTAAGTGTGCATTATAGATTCGAAGTATACATTTAGTGCCTACAAATGTTTTTACGAAAAATTTACTGTTAAATTTAACCCATGCCACCTCCGATAACCACTTTTACTACGCGCAAACCCCTTCCGGCCCATTAAAATAATTTTGTAAACAAATTTTAAATATAATGACTAACGCGTGCTTAAAAGCCAATTATCACACTACCTGTTGTATCTTCATATATTTAGCACAAATATTCACTACAGCACACACAAATATTTACATACATATGTATAAACAGCATCACTTTGACACAATTCTAGGACAAAAATTTAAATAAAGATGACGCTACATTGACTTACCGCCCATGTGTTGGTAGATAAACCAACCCATCGATATCACATCCATGCGGAAGCCCAAACTAATGCACGTGTAAACGAAATCACTTGGCGCCGCCCAATAGCCGCGTGTCAGGTCGGGTTTGTGTGGCCTGCGACCACTATCATATGAGGACTCGTAAACCATCTCGAACGCTGATTTTGTATCACTTTCACTTTTTTAATATTTATTTTAATTAAATTAAAAAATTAAAATTTAAAAGTTGTAAACAAGGTGGTTTTGTCAGTGCGTATGTTACACGTCGCGTTGATCCGTGCTAGTGTATAGCATGCAAACGAGTCGACGGCAAGCGCATCGACGCTGAAATGAGGGCCAAGTTTATGCCACACTAAATGTTTGCCTGTCGTCTACATTAATTACATCAATGCGATAATAGAAACCACAAAATTCACTTAAATACCGTTGTATATAAGTTATATATATACGAATATGTAAAAGTTATAAAAGTATGAGCAATATTTTAATTAAAACGTGAGCAACAACAGCGGCTAAATGAATAGAAAACCACACTAAATTAATACTCGGATGCTCAGTGTCATTTACTTGCTTTTATCATGAACACACAAATGTGCATATATAGCATTTATATTATACATACATACATATGTACATATATACTTGTATGTACATACGTATCGGTGAAATATAATTTTGCAACTCATATAATATTTAACTGTGCAACAAACAATATTTTTCGTGCTGTGTCGTTGTTGTTGCTATTACTACTATTACTATTTTTGTATTTGTTTTGTTTTCATATATTTTCTTTTTTGTTTGCTGTGCTCTTGTTTGGCTTTTGATAATCGTTGATTCTAGTTGTACTTTAATGCTGACTTTTTCGTGTGTTTCGGCTTGCAAAGCTCGCGCCGATCTGTGCGCTTTCCGTAAATATTCGTACGTTGTAATTAGTAGCAACAGCTCCGGCGCATTACTGAACCGCGCCGCCGATCATTCTCATCATCGCATTAAACAAGCATACATACATACAATTATTATTATTCTCTTATGTGTGTGTGCACTATTTATATATGAATACTATGCAATATAATTGTTGCTTTTGCTTTCTTCCTATTGTCTTTGACGGCAAATTGCGATAACACTGAGCGCATGCAATTTTTCGAAAAACCGCCGTTGCCAGTGAACTTCGTTGATTTATCAACGAGAACTGCAATGCATTGTATGTATGTAAATATGAAATAATATAGTGCTGCAGGCATTTGAAGTTCAAGGTGTTTACATATGTAAGTATGCATAATGTATGTACATGCATTCAGTACTCAATATATAGAAAACTAAACAAAAAACAAGTAAGAAAAGGCTAAGTTCAACCATAAGATCGGAATCTAAGCAATTTTATATATAATCTATCTCACATACTATACATTTTATGAGATTTGGGGTGGTATCGACCCGATTTTATATATTAACTAGGTATTATCATGAAACATACTAAAAAATGTTCCCTGGTTTTCATTGAGCTATCTCACATATAACCACTAATTCAATCCATTTTGGATACACAGCCTTACAGACTCTGTCTGAATTTCAATTGTATATCTCGTACATTGACCGGTATTTTCAGTCAGAAGTCAACTATTGTGCGAAATCTGATATTTTAAAAATCTCGAGCAATTCCCAATGTAAATGGAAGCCCTATATAGGCTTTATATGATAGCCTTCTAAATTTTATTTATTTATTTTTTTCAAAAGTCTCTCTGTAAGAGAGGTCATAATTTCTTATCAATTATGTTTACAATATCGATATTGTGCTTAGTTCTGAAAGTTTATTTCAATCTATCACTCCGATAAGAAAGATTGAAAGAGTGCCATTCTTTTTTTTGGATGGGGCAGCATACGAGCATTAAAAGGAGTGAAGAGCGAGCTGAGAGGAGAAACTCTTGAACGTTTAGAGGTAAATATTTGAGGCACCTAAATCCATCAGATCTGGTCTGCCTAATTGTCAAATAGAATTATGAAACAAAAACTAATCGTTTATTAACCAAATGTTCGAATATAAAAGTTTTGGACTCGGAATAAATAGAGAAATAACTGGAAATCCTCCCACACCTCATTTCAACACCCACACTTGGGATAAAGAATCATTCTGACAATTTTGTCCTCAAATACCGCCGGTTTGGAACACATTTTTATTTTTCGAAATTTCTGTGGCAAAAATATGCCCCATGCGATTTGCAAATTTCTGCATTTTTATATTTTCTCTACAACCAGTAGTTTAGAAGTTATAAACATTTTTATATTCGGCGGCTGCTTGCTTCATGATCCTGGCCGCCTGGTAGAAATCTGAGATTTTGGCACCAAATTGAATGCAATTTTTCCTGGAGCGGATGCACCAAAAATTTGCGTAGTGGTAGCATATGCAAAGGAGCGACATTGGGAACACGGAAGCGGGATATATGTATACACAACGGCCGGAAATGGGAAAGGTCTTCGAAAGGAAGTGGAATAGCGGAACTATACTTCCGGTTCGAAACCCAACCGGAAGTCGTAAACCGGAAATGGATATATGTGTGGCTGGAAGGGGTATTAGGGTACTACACTTCCGGTTTGGAAACACAACCGAAAGCCAAAGACCGAATTTTCTCACAACATCCGGTCCGGAACTGAAATAACGGGATATTATTTGCGGTTCTACCGGATAATAGAAACAGGAAATAAAATAATCGGTGTATGACTTCCGGTTGGAGTTTCGAACCGGGAGTATAATACCGCTATTCCACTTCCGGTGAAGGATGTATATTTCCCGCATTCCTTTGCGTATGCAACCCATCCCACAAATTTTTGTTGCATCCGCTGCCGCTGCAGAAAAAATTGCATTCAATTTGGTGTCAAAATCTCAGATTTCTACCAGGCGACCATGAGCATGAAGCAATCAGCCGCCGAATACAAAATTGCTTATAACTTCTAACCTACTGGTTGTAGAGAAAATATAAAAATGCAGAAATTTGCAGAATCGCATGGGGTGTATTTTTGTTAAAGAAATTTTAAATTTGGATTTACACAGAAATTTCGAAAAATAAAAATGTGTTCCAAATAACCGGTGTTTGAGGACAAAATCGTCAAAATGATTTTTATCCTAAGTGTGGCTATTGAAATGAGGTGTGGGAGGATTTCCAGATATTTCTCTATTTATTCCGAGTCCAAAAGGTTCATGTTTGAACATTTCTTCGGGTTTTAGGAGATACGTGCAACCGTTAGGTGAATAAAACTATAATACATGGGTATTAAAAAACAAAACTGGAGTTTATATGTGCGTTCACTGCCACTTTTTGAAACGAGACACAATATAATGATGCGCAGCGCAATTCTACTCGATTTGCATCTCTACGTGTGCTCGCATGTCATAAAGGTAGCCTGCGGTGAAACAATAAGAATAACCGCATAGAAGAAATTCTGGTATAAAACTAGAGCTTAATGGTCGAAATAAAACCAAAACTGGACGAAAAAATAAATAATCCCAAATTCATATTAATGATAATTAAGGCAGGATTACATTATTACATATGTACATAACATTTATGTATAGTATATCCCTTTGTAGAATTATTTAAAGAAGAGTGTCTTCGTCTTCTAATGCAGCCATTTACAGTAGGACTTAATGAATAATGAATTTGCATCAAATATGGATTACCAGATGAAATTATTTAATTACAATGCAGTGGTTCGCATATCTACAATAAATGATGGAACATACATACAGATGTATTTGTACGAGAGCTTTATGCTTTAATTATAAATGAATGTACAGTTAAATGTATATACTTAGCACTACGGTTGAGAGAAGTAAAGGGTAGATGTGTTTTGAGTTTAAGACTAGAGCACACTTATATAAGTATGTGTATAAAAGTAAAACTTCTGCTGAGCACAAACCGAGTTACGTAAAAACATTACGACGTAATTTCAAAATCATCCGATTGCTTTGCAATTCTATTTCATTTTAAGAGCATACCAATACAATGTCATAATGGATAAGAAAATTGGAAACACCATTTAAATAGAAAGAGGGTAAAATTATAATCACAAACGCAGCAAACAGCATTGAATTTAGTTTAAATAGTAGCCAGGTTGCAGAATTCCGTGTTTATTGAAATTACATTTTTATGTTATAAATTTAACATTACCAGCTCTTTACAACATTTGCATTTAATATTAATTAAATCTTAAATAAAATAGTAGAAGTATGCTCAGGCAAACTGATGCAATGAAGTTTTGTTTGTTCTCATATAAAATATAAAATATTTTTTTTAGAATTTTGTATTGTTACAAACATACACTATTCAAAAATAAAATCCGAAGAGTGTCTTCGAAATGTTTACATACAAATACTTATGGCCATTGCGAGGCTATTTCCGCTGATCCCTCAGAAAAAAACTACGCCCGCGTTGGTAGGATAACTCCTTACAGGATCATCTAAAGTGAAAAAAGTACGTGTTTTAGTTAAAATCTTAGCTTAGAATTTGTACGAAGAAAAAAGTCTCAGTGATTTTTGGCAGACATTTTCACAAAAAATTAAAACTTCGCGACATTTCTTTCACATAGTTGTAATCGAAAAAAATACCCGGTTCAAGTCTTTAAAAATTGTAAAATTTCATGAAGACCTGTTGAGTAGTTTTCGAAAAATCTTGTAGTGTAACAGGAAAAAAGGAAAAAAGTCGATTTTTGGGAATGGAAAAATTAGTACTGTTTGTTTTGAAATTTTCAGGGTTTTTGAAAACTAAAAAAAAACATTTCATGAATTATACGAGATTTCCGACGACGCTAAAACAAAGTTCCTCCGCTGCTGCAGTGATCCGGTCTTCTACGTGGAAGAAATTGAAAACTAAAAATTCAAAAAAACCAAAAGTTTTGCACATCTGGATAACAGAGAGGCCGGAGGGAATAATATGTTAAGTTTTGGATGAGTAAGGAATAATTTCTCTTTTGGCGAAATGGTATAATATGGCGGCTACGGTACGGCAAGGGCGCAATTTACAAGGAAACCAGAATGTATCATCAATAATATCACTTCCGAGTTTTCTGAGGAATTTTTTAGGGCATTTTTCAAAGCTAATAGATTACAACAGCTGAGATTTTATTTGTTGCCCAAAAAATATATACGTAAGTATAAT